TTTTTGCAGCGGCCGCTGCACTGGGAGGGAGAGAGAGTCTGAGCTGCCGGCAGGCAGCCCAGGGGTTCACCTGGGTCAGCGCGCCGCCGGCAGCCCAGGAGAACCCCTGGGTCAGAGCTGCCTCACGGATCCCTGCACCGGGGGTGGGGAGCTGCCCCGGGGGGGGGCCTCAGGGCGGGGCGGGGGGGGCCGCATGGGTGCGGGGGGGGGGGGGGGGAGCTGCCACAGGGCTGGTGGGGGAGCGCAATGTGGAAGTTTCGCCTAGGACGCGAAACTTCCTTGCACCGGTCCTGGACACAAGGAGTCAAGTATGTGCACACACAAGTGATTTAGTATCTGCAGTGGCTGTATGCCAACATAAGTTAGGTGGACGTAATTTTGTAGTGTAGACACCTCTACACTTACAGAGACAGGGTGGGTGAGGTAGTATCTTTTATTGGACCAACCTCTGATGGAGAGAGACAAGCTTTTGAGCTTATACAGAGCTCTTCTTCAGAAGAGAAGCTCTGCCTTGGTCTACACCAGTGGTTCTCAAACTTTTGTACTAGTGAACCCTTTCAAATAGCAAGTCTCTGAATGCGACCCCCCCCTTATAAATTAAAAACACTTTTTAATATATTTAACACCATTATAAATGTTGGATGCAAAGCGGGGTTTGGGGTGGAGGCTGACAGCTCACGACTCCCATGTAATAACCTCACGACCCCCTGAGGGGTTCCGACCCCCAGTTTGAGAACCCCTGGTCTACACTACGATGGCAGTGTTGGTATAACTACATCGTTGAGGAGTGTGGAAAATCCACTCCCTTGAGCGACACAGTTATATCAACCTAACTCCCAGTGCAGACAGCATTATGTTGATGGGAGGGCTTCTCCCTTCGACATAGGTACCGCCTTTCGGGGAGGTGGAGTACCTACACAGATGGGAGAAACTGTCCTACCGGCATAAGTAATGTCTTCACTAAGCGCTACAGCCCCCTGTGTAAGTTCAAAACTTGCCTCTTGCCAACTGAAGTTGGTCCAATAAAAGAAACTACCTCACCTACTTTGTCTCTCTAATATTCTGGGACCAACATGGCTACAACACTGCATTTAACTACATAGGTATATGTTAAAGTAGTACAACTTCTGTGTGTAGACAAACCCCATTTCTGAGTTTGCTGAAACTTAAAACTAAAAGCTAAATGCACATTTTTTCATATTTTTACAATGTGCATATTTAAATTACCCATCAGAAT